TACAAAAAAAAGAAGAAAAATACCAAGACCAAGGGTGTATAATGGTTTTAAAAATGTTTAAAGCCATAATACAACCTAGACATATATATATAAATTATTGAATTGCAATCTAAATAATAAACTAATTAATATAGATATCAGTAAAAACATTATAAAATTAAAGTTAAAAATAAAAATTAAAAGAAAACTAAAAATAATAAAACATAAATGTAAAAGTAAAAAGTAAACTCTTTCTATAAAAAATTGTATGATATAGTATAATTATTTGCATAATATAATATTCGTCTGATTATTAACAATATACATATTCAAATTTTACATGAAATCTAAATATTCAACTTTATATATAAAAAAAACTATTTTCTTTAAATATTCAAATTTATATAAACAAAAACTATTTTAATTAAATGCAAACAAAAATAATACAATTCTAACACAACATAAATAACATGAATTTAATTAATAAAGCATGTAATTAATATTATATTTTTTTGTTATCCACTATAGATATTGTAAATAAATTTTATATCTGTTATATTAAACGTAACAATAGAAGATATAAAAATCACGAAGTCATCATGGGAATTTATAATTCCTCTTATCCCTTTTCGAAATTCTACTCCATTCCCAATTTGAATTCGAATATCTTCTAATATTCTGTTTGGTTGGTTTGTTTTATTATCCCGATTCGAATTCCACTCTATTCATTTCGAATTCTTTCTTCCATCTCTTTTTGAATTCTATCTTCATTCCCAATTTGAATTCGAATATCCTGTTCTGAGATCCATTTTCTATACCTTATTAAATTACCCTCCCAACCCCCCTTACCTATCCCTTATTGAATTTTTTTGTTAATTCTTTTTAAATTCCTTCTATTATCCTGATTCGAATTCCATCTCCTATCATTTTTCGAATTTCTATTTAAACATGATAATCGGTTATATTTTTTTTATGTGATATCATTTTACCATTATAACGATAGTATACAACAATTAATATAAATGATAATAACTTTACACCTAAAAATACATTTCTAGGACAATACAATTTGATGTGATTTACGAAAAATTGACCATCAAAATAAATTTTAATATCATACATCTTTTTTTACAATAGTATTTTGACCCTAAAAATTATAATGCAGGATTCTTTTCTTCTTTGTTCTCATATTTAGTCAAGGACAAAATAATTTCCCCAGCAAACTTCCTTGCCATTTTCCTTACATTAGAGAAAATATTTTATGGAGTGTCCTGGTTCGACATTTTACTAAATCCGAATAAACAGCTTAAAAATAAGAGAAAAAATACATACAAAAAAAAATATAAAAAACAAAATAATGAATATAAAAAAAAATAAACAAAATCAACAATAATAAACAACAAAAAAACGGAATAGAGTGAAAAAGTATACTAAAAAATATGAGAACCATCAAACACTGTAAAACAAGCCAAAAGATTACCTAGTTCACAAGATATTTATCAGCCAAAACAATTTATTAAAGAAAATTTTAACCCAGGAGAGCCCACCCTTTGATATTAATTCTATTATATTGTTATGAATATTTAAATCTTTCTCAGGTTATTGGAATCGGCTTGAAACTTATAATCAGAGATCGAAAAGCACTGCCCGAAATAGGCCTATTCCGTGTTAAGTCTATGTTAAAAAAAATAAATTCAAATTTTACGAATCGTTCACTTACTTGTTGAATCATAACTTGAAGCCTTTAATATTCATCAAAATAGTTTCCAAGTTCAAAAGGTGTTTAGCCTCGCTAAACAAAATTAGTTATCGAAAATTCGCTTTAAGTGTTTGTTGGCATTTTTATTTTTCGAATTATTTTGTATTTGGTATTGCTTTTATAGGCTGTTTAGTTGAAGCTTAATAGTCGGCTAAACAGTCAGCTGATTAGTATAAGTTGAACAACTAGGAGACACCCTTGGTACTATAATTTTTGATTTATCATTGAAACGACTTGCAATCAAATTCGATTCTAATTTTTTTTTTATTTATTAACTCTCCGAATAGGATTGAAAATTTATCAAAATTTTACGGGTCGGGCTTAAAATAAATTTTTCAAAAATTCGGGAGGGGGGATAAGAGGGAGGGTGAAAATATATTTAAAAATTTGGGCTGGGCCTAACAGACATTTAGACCTTTTCAGGTCCAAATAATAATTAATTCCATGATTTTTAAAAATTTTATGAGTATACCAAAGGGATTCAAGGATGGGTTAATGAGTGATGGATCTGGTTTAACTTGAGCAGCAGCTGAGATTGCTAAAGATCTCTATATGAATGCCATTGCATCTATACATTAAAATATCAACATTAAACTTCTATCATATCCTGAAATTTGTTGTTCTTCTTCGAAGAAAATTGGTATATCGTAGTTCTCTGCACTTGTCCCCTTTGTTTAACATCTTTTAGACATTTTATAATGAAGTTACTTTTATAAATTATTTTATAATAAAATTTTATAATAAAATTTTCTATTTCAATTTTAAATATATTTATAAAGATTCGATATTTAAGAAACAAAAATAAATTTCTGATTCTTTATTAAATCGATCTTTAATTTGTAGTTAAAATTGTATAAGCAAAACGTAACAATGATGTCAGATAAAATTTAGAAAGAAGAAATATACTTATACTTGTTTCAATAATGACATTACGACTTTAAACGTCAAAGTGTTCTCAATAATTTGTAATCACAAATATTATGAAATTGGATGTATATATGGAAAAAAATGTCATGTAAATGAATTTTTAATTTATAGATATACATTTTGTTTTAAACTAAGAAAAGTTAGAAATTGATTTTTTTTGTTTTTTTTACTCTATAACTAAGCAGTTCCAAAAAAAAAATCAAAATTGATATCAAATCTCCTATTTTCGTTTGTTCGCAAACCTATTTTGCGCCGATAAAAATAATTAATTTAAAATAAATTGACCCCCACACAACAGAAAATATTTATTTTTACCATGAGTTGATACCATTTTTTTAACCCATATCCTTATCTCGATTTTGATATTTTTGGGAAGTATCAAAAGTAAAATATTGTAATTATGGGCGAAACCCAAATTTATCCTAAGTGGAGAGGATTTAACTTAGTTCCCATTGGTATCATCATTTTTTCGGCTGAATGTTGGGTCATATACTTATCGTTTGAATTAAATAGGGTTGTAACACTCGTTTTATAACTTATCAATATTTATATTTTTTTTTTCATCATTCCTCTGAGAAAATATTAAGTTATGTAAAACTATTTTAAACCCAGATTTTTTTTTTTTTTAAATATATAATTAAGCCGGGCTTGAGATAAAAATTTTTTTTTTGAGAGAGATTAAAAAAATCTGAAGTAGATATTAAACGTTCTATTTTATGATTTACCAATTTGCAAACTTGATTTATAAAATAATCTTTGTCAATATTTGTAATTTTTTAAAATAAACCCGATCCGGTTTTATAGTGAAAATCTTTTTAGGCCAGTTTCGGGCCGAATTGAGGCCAGACATGCAGATCTAAGGGTTATACACTATAATTATTCTTTAAAAAAAAGTATCTTTTACAATTATACCCTATTTTTTCCTTTTTTATGGGAAATGACTTTTAAAAGAATTTGATATATAGGAAAAAGGGGGATTTTCGACTTCCCCCTTGTCTATGCATGTGAATTTATTATTAATTTAGTGACTATATAGACTTTTAAGCTCTCCTTGTTACATTAACGGTAACCGTTATCCTGTTCATATTATTGGTTTTTATTTTAATGACGCAGAAGAATTTTTACATATACAAATGCGGGAAAGATCATATCATTTTTTATTTTTTTTCTTAAAATATATTTAATATCCGTTTATAACATTCTCCACTTTATAATATAAGCATTCTCGCCTTTTACTGTTTTCAAATCTCACAACTCATATAGATCAAATACACTTTATAATACAGTATTACCCTTAGGTTTTTCCTACTCTTAACTTTTAGCCAATAGCCATTAACCTGCTACATTTTCTTGAGTCGGAAGAATCCTTATCTGATCCACCATAAACAGTGAACTAATTTTTCTAACTCCTTAATAAATTATCCATATCTGCTGAAATATTTTAGGCGCATGAAAACTAAAATGCCCTCGAATAAAAATGACAATAATCAAGTATTTTCTAAAATCAATTGGGAGCTGAAAATGTAACTTTGAGGAATTACAATTTTTCCCATAAAATATGTGTTCTAATATCATATACAAAATAAAAAATTCTTGCAGAAGTGGATAGATTTGAAAAAATAAGATTGCTTCATTTTTTGAGATTTTACAGAATATATAAATTATTAACATATATTTGTGACCTTATATGTTCTTTAGATTCCGAGATATTTTATATTAACACTTAAATATATAAAATATTATAACATTTTATTTTACAATTTTACTCATATAAAGGGAAAATTTAAGAATATTAATTAAAAAAATATTTTTACAACTATAATATATTATTATAGGAGTGAGCTAGTTGGCAAAACACACAAATATTTTAAATATTCTTGAAATAAAAATATAAATATTACACAATTTACTGATGAAGATTTTATAGGGAGGATTGAGAGACCTCCCTTATCACTTCCTGCGGGCCCAAGAATCCATTTAGTGTGACACATTTTCTGGCCTAAGTTTGATTTCCACCAACAGAACAATTAAGGAAAATAAAGTAATCCATTTAATATGATAATAATATATTTAACTAAAGAATAAACAACTATTATCTTTGATTTTGATTTATTTATTGGCTAAGTTTTTATGCTGGAACCTTAGATGGAAGTACGCAATAGATATACTACGATTTAACAGCTGATCAGATTTATAAATTTTTATATGGTTATCTTTTATTACCAGTATTCTCTTTAGTATCAATCGCGATAATAATCTATAAATTATCTCAAGATTGTTTTAAACTCAATCAGCTGCTACGATCACTGAATTAGCATCTATTCTTTCAGCGCTAAATTCCAAATGGATAATTTGCCCTGGTAATATTTTTTTTTTACTATAATTGAATTGTTTATTTGATATTCAAAAGGATTGAGAAATATCGCCCTAAAAATTTTGATGAAGTGATTGCACATAAGGATATCATTGAAACTAGTTATTAACTAAAAAAATATTAAAAATGATTTAAAATAATAGTTCACAAGTTTATTAAAGAGAATAAGTTACCTCATCTTTTATTTTATGGAACACCTGGAACTGGAAAAACTTCAACTATTTTGGCATGTGCTAAATTGTTATACACTCCCAAAGAATATAGTAGCATGGTTTTGGAGGTAAATAGCTATGATATATTTATTTTTTAATATTAGTTTAGTTGAATGCTTCTGATGATAGGGGTATTGAGATAGTCAGAGGGCCAATTTTAAATTTTGCTAGCACAAAGACAGTTTTTAAGTAATTTAAATAAAATATGTGAAGAAAAAAAATATAGTATTTTAATTTTGTTAGATGTTCTTTTTTTTTCTTTGATAATTTTATTGATTTATATTTAAATTTAAACATTGCAATATTTCTTTCATAGGTAGAGAAGGGGAGAAGAGAAATCCTCCCCATTTGGAAATCAAAATATCATAAATCATTTAGTATATTCAATACATTTAAATAACAATGTTGTCTTAAGGGGATGGGTGAATTTTTTTTTGTAATAATATGATTGTTCTTAAAGAGCTTCATATTGTAGAATTTAAGGAATCTATTTTTTTATTTTTTAATATTATCTTGTTTATATCTACAAATTTTTTTAACAAATGTTGAAAAAAAGAACACAAATATTTTTTTGGTTGCACACAATTGCACCTGATTCAGAAAGATAGCCTTTTCTTCATACTTGCATCTCGTAAAAGTGTGCTACTCATGTCCCATTAATTTTATTTTATTGCAAAGTTTTTATAAGATTATTAGTTAGGGATTCCATATCCAGGTCACTCACCTAGTTTCAACTAGGCTTTTCTATCTGACATATACTAAATTTCTCACATGTATCATCAGCCATAACTTGGTAATAATCAGATTCATTACTGTGTAAGGTGATATGATTCCAAATTAGATTCTCAACTATATCTATTATTAAATTTTTTTGATAAATAATGAGTATTACCAGAAGATTGATTACCTCATTAAAAAGGGTCTTATACTTCTAGACATCATATTAATTCACAATAATCCTTTAGTTTTATTGATAAAAATCAGGTTATATTAAAATTGGAATCACCCATTTGATTTTCAATTGCAATAGTCTGACAACTTATATTATTATATGCTGATTGGTGTATATAATAAATTAATTTAAAATATTTACATTAACCCACCTGCCTGTTGTTTCAAAATTCTTTTTAACCTGCCTGCCCATTGCTTAATTTTTTTTAACCCACCAATTGCAGGCCACAAATTTAAACATTAAAAAAGATTAGATGCATGTTTTTTTTAATAAAATTTTAAATAAAAAAAAACCATGTTATGTTAAAAAAATATTTTTAAAAAGGTGTTAAAATTTAAAATTAATAAAACGAGAATGGGTCCCTCTTTCAGATTACATGATAGAATGGTGTAATGTGACCAACATATCATGATTGATATCTGTAATCTAGATTTCTGAAGGTCACCTGAAATTATGCAATCTTTGACCGAAAAAAAAATCCCAGGCTCTAGATCTAATACCAATTTTACTGAAACAATGGGGATTAATATGATCTTAGGTAGTGAAGGTCACGGTCCGGTCTTTGGTCCGGACTAACCGATACCCTCGGACCGGACCACGGTCCTTAAGAAAAAGATCGATCCAGACCATGGTCTTAAATAAAAAGACCGGTCCTGGACCGGTCTTTTTATTTGTTTAAAAAACATATTTTTTAACCTAATTTGATTTGTTTTATCATTTTATTAAATATAAGAGTATTATATAAACAATAAAATTTATCCAATGGTATTGAAAAAAATGATTTTGTGCTTGTAGAGGGCATTTTAAAATTAAGAGTAGATTGTGTTTTTTGAGATTTTTTCATTTTCATCATTAGAAGTATATATTTTATGTTTTATCAGATGTCTGCTTAAGGTACCTAATTATTTTATTAAGAATAAGGTTAAGTAATTTTTACAATAAATTATACAGACAGTTTCTTTAAAAAAAATAGAACTATATAATAACTAAAATATTTTAATAATATTATTGCTTATTTTGATTAATTTATTGCTTAAAAAATTATAAACAATTATTTTGTTACTAGGTGCTGACGATACATTAAATTTGGTACTGCAGTGAACACATACTCTATGTTTTTATTGGGACTATAAGTAAAATGTTTCTTGGACAAACTTATGGTTTTCTTATTGTAAAATAAAAATTAACAAAATCTAAAATGATCCTCTAGAATATCATAAAATAAAATATACAAAAAATTATATTAATTGTATAGTAAAGCAAACTTAAACAATAATAAAAGACCGGTCCGGACCGCGATCTGGACCGTAAAAAATAAAAAGACCGGTCCGGACCACGGTCCTCAAGAAAAAGATCGGTCTGACAATCGGTCCTGTCCGATCCCGGTCTAAGACCGATAGGACCGGACCGTTGACCTTCACTAATCTTAGGTATGTTACTATTTATTAATTTTTAATTCAACTATGGAATTTAAATTTAAGGTAGACGCGAAACAATCACCAATAGCTAGTAGGGTGCCGTTACTCCCTGGATTTCGTGTGATTTCATTAGGCCTAATATTTTAATTGAAATTGAGTCCTACTGGTTCCTAGGTCGATGTAAAGTGGCTGAGCCGAGAGCTCTGGCAATGATCTCATTTAATGGCTTGGGTGACGGCCTGAGAAGGCTGCTAATAGATAGCTGACAAAGTTTAGATGAGGACCTGGCGATATCACGGCCTAAACAAGGCCTATTATGTGAAGTTTTTTTTTTGACTAAGGTTGGTGCTTGTTTAAATGTTGAATTGCTGATTGATAATCATTGGCTTGATTTATTGGAGAAGTAATATTAGGATTAAAGGTCGACGAAAACCCTTTCAAAACTACATTCGAATAATTCGGCGGTAGATAAAGGCCAGGGTTAGAGCGTTTGTCTTCCATAAACTTAGAACCATCGCTAATTTTTAATAAAACTGGACCAAACAAATTAAATAGAAATTAGAACGTTTGAAATAATATTTATAAATTTAAATACCCAATCAACTAGGAATATAACAACGGATAGATAATATAAGTCAAATGGCTTCTTTAATGGCAACTAATTTTTTCAAAAACAGCTGTTTCTTATATGCGCATTAGTGATCTTCATACCCTGCCCTATCCAGAACGATTTTTTTTATTTGTCCCTAATAGCCTGACCCAAAATATAAACGCCTGGCCCGATAGAAAAATTAAATATTTTTTTATTGTAAAATTTTTTTTTAAGTCCCTTGTTTCTTGCAAGAGTTTAAAAATATATCAATTTATTTGACTAATCATTTACCCCACGACCCTCCCCCCCCCCACACCCCAATTTTTTTTTTATCAGGTTAAAGATTTTTGATATTATGGTTTTGAACTAGTTATCAACCTTCTGTTTTCACTCCGCATGTAAAATTTATAAAATTTGCGAAGTTATTATAAAGGGTTTAAAGGAAAAGATTTTAACCCTTGTCTGAAGTTTGAACTAGACGCAACTCCCTGTTTTTTAATCTGCTAGAAAAATTATTTTAAAAAATATTTTCTATTCAATTTTGAAAGAGTAAGGTTTATTTTAAGTATTAAAAAAGCTAAAATAAAATAAATATACGGTTTTATTTAGACAAATAAATTGAACATGAAATGGGCCTTTTATTTTAATTATCTTGATCCCCTTTGGGATCAGATCTGACACGTTAATAATAGTATGCGATTTAAAATCTTGTTAATATGAAACGAATTTTTTCTTCATTAATTCTATTTCATAGTAATTAATCTATCATCGATTTTAATAAAGAAAAATTGATCTACTTTTTTTTAAAAAATCAATCGATTATGTTCAATCTTGTCGAATTAATCGGATCCAATATAAATCCATCCTAGATGTTGTTTCGTTCTTCCTATCCCAAAAGAACTGAAGACCTTTTTTTAAAATCAGTCAGACTTTTGACAGCTATTAATTTTAAAAAGAGTAAAAAATTATTTTTTTTTATTAGACTCTGTTTTGAGCCTAGTTAATCATTTTTGGTAGTATGAAAAAGTCAAAACATTTTTATAGTGTCACAAATGTAGCTTATAAATATAATTTTTTATATTAAAAATTTTAAATAACACATTACTTAGTTTATATACCAAATTTTACAAGCAGCACGAACTTTAAAATTTATCTAATTATTAGGTAGACCTAATTTATCAATTTGATTTATATAGGTAAATATATTTCCTAAACTATATGCAGCCAAAATTACATATCTACCATTTTAAATAAATAATAAAAATGATTCCGCTAGTTGGCGTTTAATGACTTAAAAAGCGTTAGCATATGATCATTTCAAAATATCTATTTATTGGCAATCAGTTATTTTACAAAATATATGTATCTAAATAAGGAATGGCTGAAGAAAGGTAGGCTTCTTTGAAATCTGTAAAACATTATCCATAAAAAGATTTAAAAATATTAGGATCTCACTGTCAACCAATCCATAAGCAAACAAAAACTTTAAACTTACAAGACATATATTGCTGACAATCACATTTTTTTTAAGCTAACTGTAAATTTTAAAACATTAATAATCGCTATATATATCAGAGACCTGTAGGCCCAGCCTGGCCCAGTTACATGAGCTGGGCTGTATTTTCATTTTTTTAAATATAACTTTAAAAACCAGGACTGGGCCTGAATTTTTTTTAAAAAAAATACCCAGACAGGGCTATATTTTAAACCCAATATTTTAAATTACTCTTATTAGTAAAAATTCTAATATATTTTAAAAAAATCAGGGCCGGACCTGAAAATATAAAACCCACACTGGGCTGGGGGCTGTGCGAATGGTACCTTTGCAAGATATATATAAAATAATTTAAATAAATATTAAAACATTTAATTCTATAAGGTGCTATACTGGTGAGGATTGATAATATTGCACTATCTTAAAGCTAAGATTCCATATATATATATTCTCAATAAAATTTTTATTAGTTTTTAGGCAAAATTTCTTAAAACATAATATTAATTAGGGGTATATCAATCCCACTTTTTGGAGGTTGATCCGATGCAATATTAAATTGATATCGGCCAATTACCAATCAGATATCATCTCTGATTTTGTATTCAGTAAACATACTAATGGTTTTAATATTTAATGCATACATCTACTCATCCCATATATTTTTTAATATAACATCTTTAATTTAACCCCATAAAAAATATCTGTACATCCCTAATATTAATCTTAAATATATTAATCCTATAAGCATTTATCAGGTTTACAAGCATGACAAAATTGTATCAAACCATTTTTATAAATTAAATCTCGCTATAGTTTTAAAATAGTGGTAATAGAAAAAGAATTTTTACCAAAAGATAAAAAATATGATGTAACTTTAAATTATATGTGTTCTATTGACATGTCTATAAATTATACACTTCTCAAAAGAGAAACAATATTTGTTTGACCATATAGGCATGAGCATATAATTGACATGAGCTTCAAGAACTAGGTCTCTAAAAATATTTGATATTCCATGTGTGGGGAGGAGGGGTGGGGTGAAGGTATGCATAAAGACAAGGATGCTAAAAAACTTATGAGATTGTATAGGCATATAAATGCCATTGAGATCACGAATAAATGATGTAATTACCTGAATTATGTATAAAGCTAATAATAGTTGTCCTTAAATAATAAAATCAATAGAAAATTAAAATTTTTTTCATTTGAAATTCATGAAATAAATTGTCAATACAATCCCAGATTGAAATTAACCTCCTTTAGAGGAATGATATTTGCAAGCCTCAAATATTTATTTAAAACTTGGATAATTAAATTTTGACATACTAATAAATAATTTTTTAGATTATTGATATGTGGTTATGTTTATGTCTTCATAAAGAGATTTTATATTTAACATATTGTTATAATTTTATCTTATAAATTTATACATGGCTATTAATATAAATTAATAGAATGAGGCCTTTTATCCCAAGTTATAAATATTTTAAATTCACAATAGTTGATCAAAAAATTAATAAAGCCACTAATATTTACCATATCATGCAAAAAATATTTCTCTATTCAATTACATTATGTAATTATATTTTTAAAGCCAAAAGTTTAAGCTGATAATTCTTGATGAAGCAGATGCTATGACTAAAGATTCTCAAAATGCTTTGCGAAGGATTATTGAAAAATACACATCAAATGTTAGATTTTGTCTTATTGGTAATCATTTATCAGGCATAATACCAGCAATAATATCTAGATGTACCAGGTATAGATTTGGTCCATTAAACAGTGAAGCCATGTTAAATAGAGTTACATATATTGCACAAGAAGAAAAGTAAATTGAAAATTTGCAATATTAATATAAATTTATTATTATTGAATGAAGGTGGTAACTTCATAAATATCATATTGTTATTATTGAATGAAGATGGTTTATTTCTTAAATTAACTTCATAAATATTATAATGTTATAAATCTACAATTAAATCAAACTTTTACTGAAGCAGTCGTGGCCGAGTGGTTAAGGCGACTGACTAGAAATCAGTTGGGTTTTCCCGCACAGGTTCGAATCCTGTCGACTGCGAATTTTTTTTAAAAAAATTTTTTTTTAATACTCTTAAATAATTTTCACTATTTTATTTCAGTATATTTTTATAAATTTAAGCACTATTTTACAAATTTAAAGTTAACTCTAATTTTTTCAAATTAAAATAAATTTTATAATAAAATGTTTATTTTTTGACCAATAAAAGACCGACTTTTATTAATTATCAGATACATTGGTATGATACTGACTGATCTTAAAGTTTAATAAGATATATTTACATTATATCAATTGTCCAATTTTAAAATCACGTGATAGAACATTTAATAACCGTTTACATTATAACATAATAAAGGACGAATGGGTAGTATTGCCAATTGCTCAAAGAGTTTTGGATTAATTCACATTATGGCGTTTAAATATTTGTCCTCTTAAAAGGAGAAATAAATATTAAACAAACCGTAGGGTGCCCAAAAAATGTTAGGATTTTTCAAAAAACTAGCCATAAAATTTAATTACAACCCTGGAGGATTATTAAAAATATAATCCAATTAACTTTTTGCTTGCTGCTCATATTTAACATTTTCCACTTTACAAATTACAAAATATATTTAAAATGTTCCAAATAATTAATTTTTATAGGCTAAATGTAACGGATGATGGGATAAAAGCTTTGGTCAAATTGGCGAATGGGGACATGCGAAAAGCGTTGAATGTTATGCAGGTTTAGCTAGGAAAATTTATTTTTCATGTATGTCAAAAATATCATTTCGAATAGATAATTAATTTTTTTTTAAAAAAATTTATTTTTGGTAGAGTACTTCCATGGCATACGATATTATAGATCAAAATAATGTTTACACGACTACTGGCCAGCCTTTGCCCCAAGATATTAAGGATATACTTGAATGGATGCTTAATTTGCCTCTGAAATCTGCTTACGAAAGTTTTAATTCTTATTTTTTAAGTTTTATGCTGCATATGATTCAGGTCTTTATTCTAACCATGAAACTGTTTTATTCAAAATTTGGAACCCCGTCAAATCTGAAAACAGTACCTGGAATCCTCTTTTAAAATTTATGGAAATCAGAATCCATTTTATTCAAAATTTTAGAGACTGAAAACAGATCCCTTTTTTTTGTTTTTAAAAATATTAAGAACCAAAATTAGAATCCTTTTTAGTCCAGGTTCCCCAGAAACTTTTATGTGTCTGGATTTTTTTATCAAGACTGGCCCATAACCTTAGTAAAAATAAATAAATTAGAAACCTTTTTAGCCTAAGATCTAATGACATTAATACCAGAAACCCTTATGCTTCTGCATTTTTTGATCAAGTCTGGCCCACACCCTTAGAAACAAATAAACTAGAAACCTCCCAAGATCTAATAATATTAATACCAGAAACTTTCATGGGTCTGGATTTTTTGATAAAGTCTGGCCCAGGCCTTTAGTAAAAAAAATTTATAAGCTCGGCCCATATTTTAAAAAAATTTCCTAGCCTAATAAGTTTAAAAAAATTTGCCTATATCTAAAATTTTAATTTTATTATATTCAATGAAAATAAACAATATTCAGTTAATCATTTTGTATGTGATACTCAAAATTTGCAATATTTTTTTAAGTTAGTAATAATAATGAATTTTTTTAAAGTATTAGAATAGATTTTCTAAAACCCAGGGCCGCTAATATAATATTAACATATGGGTCACGGCTGACCCATGAAGGTCTCTTATTAATACTTACCTATTGAAATCAGCTGTAGTAAATGTCATTGGCTATAGTAAACGCCATTGAAATGCCTTTCACATTTCAGCGGAAATGCTTTACAATATTTCTTACAATTAGCAAATCTTTTTTAAAAAATATATATTTATCAATAGATATACTGGATTTGAAAGTTGAAAAAGGGTTATCTTTACAAGACATATTGACAGAAATTCACCTGCTTGTTCATCTAAGTTAATTTTATTGTAGTTATATCGATTTAAAAATTATCAAATTATAGTTAGTTTACCCGTGACCATTCTACAATCGTTGACGGAAAAATTAGCAAATCTAGAGTAATTAGTTTATTCATAATATATCTGGAAAAAAGACTTTTTTTTTCTTAATATTCAATCATTAAGTAGTATTAAATTCTGATTTAATTGTATAATGCTAACTTCTATTTAATAAAAATTTGCCATTCCTTTTGGATTCCATTCTTTAGCAAGATGTGTTTTTTTTAAATGGTTAAACCTAGTTTATTTAGTGATGTTAAACGGCTCGTTTTGAGCCGATTTTTAAAAACGGCTAACTCAATACTTCATCCAGAAAAATATTACCCAAGCCTGAAGAATTTGCTCAGAGAAGGAACAAAGGTCTAGACATATATTATCAAAATCTGGAGGCTTAGGCATATTTTTCTGGCTAAAATATAATTAGCCGTTTTTAAAAATCGGCTCAATCCTTATATTTAAAACGATTTTCATTCATTATCAATTTTTATCATTCGTTGATGATTGGATGCTCTTAAACTTAAAATTTTCCCTATGATGGTCTCCGGTTTTTAATCTTACATCCTACCTGCCAAATAATTTTTCATCAAAATCTCGCTCTATCATTAAATACGGATATAATAATCATCCCACTAAGTTCCAAATTTTTAAAAAAGCTAAGCCAATATTTAGCCAAAATAATATTACTGTCTTTAGTCGCCGTAATAGATAAGTAGAAAATTTTTTTTTATATACCAATCGCTATCATAATTACATATTCTTTTTATGTTATTTTAGATACCAACTCTCATTTGGTACTAATGAGAGGATACAATTATCAGCCCTGGTTGGTGTGTTCCAATCTGCAAAAGATCCTATTGTGGCTTTGTCATGTGGAAGTTCATAATTATTCATAGTCGTTGTTTTTTTAAAAAAAACTATTTCTCAATTCTTTATGATTTTGATGATTTGAAAGATATAAATTTTAATAAATGCAAATTTGTAATTTAGTTTTAAAATGAAACATATCCCATCCATTGTCATTAATTATAGAATGGAGGTTTTTAAAAAAATATTGTTTCTAGAGTTCGAAGAAATATATATTGAGGGTTTATGGTTTAACCCTTTCCTTGTGTACAAAACAGCTCATTTACTTTTTCTCAATCAATAATGTATTAAGAGCACAGCTGTTCAAAATGTGTTGATATTTAATCAAGTCAATTCTATCGATGGTTTCTTCCAATCAATTTATGTTAAGTTTTCCGTTTTTTTTCTAAAGCTCACTAAGACATTAAAAATGATAATTTAATCATGGATGTGAACCTCTCGACAGAAGGACTTTAAGGAATAAGAAATTTAAAAAAGAAAGGATTAATACGAAATACATATAAAATAAAGATTTTTAAAAAAATAAAATTATTAGAATTTTTTTTCCTCGAGAAATTACATTTTCGTCATTCAAGCATAGCATATAATGTCGCAATGCATAATACATATTTATTTTTACATCTCATAAAAAAAAACAATACTTTATTATTGGGGGGGGGGGGGTTAATTTAAACCGCCAACTCTATTTTAAAATAGATTTTTTTTAGGTTCGAGCTAGTTATTTTTATTCGTTTAGACATAAATATATATTTATTCCGTATTAAAAGCTTTATTTCCATCCTCGAGTTGCTAATGTGTAAAACTAATAACTGGACCAATAATTAATTGCTAATCTAACATGAAATTCAGATAATCTAACAAACATTTTTAGTATCAATAAAAACAAGGGGATAACTATTTTTGACATGCTCTAAATCGCTAAAAATCATGCCTATAATCCCCAAATTTTTTTTTGAACCACGGGCGAATCAAATCTCACGCAAAAAAGTAATATGACAGTAAAAAATAGACACGTTATCTTTTGCTTAGATATTCATGACGAAATAAAACTATTAAAAACATCATAAAATTAATGTTCTTGCCAAGTAATCTTCATCGGAATTAATTTTTCACACCTGGCTCAAGATTAAAAAAAAATTTAATCCGGCATGCTACTTAACAAAAATTTTGTTTATTTGTCCTGATAATCCCGACCTAGCCCGAATTGATATAAATGTAAAGAAAAATGTTCCACAAATAAAAAAATATAGGCGCCTTGTTTCTTGCAAGAATTTTAAAATATATCAATTTATTTCACAAAATGGAATGATATCATATTTAAAAAAGCCCAACCAGCCCCAAATTTTTAGACGTCAGCCTGGGATTTGCGGATGTCTAGTTCTTACACTGAGGGAAATCTCGGAAAAATAGTCCTTTAAACTCACGTTAGCAATGTATCCACCCGTGGTATACTTTTATTTTCTATAATTAGAATAATTAATAATGATATATTAAGCAATAATATAATATTCTGGGTGTTATTTACAAATAGGTCCATATAAGAATTTAAACTTTAAAAAAATATATGTTATCCTGAGGTTGTGCCTTGAATTTTAATCCCCAATAATGCTTCCAATTGCTGATGGGTTATTTGAAAAACCATTGGAGAATTATTGGCGTTATCTTGATCATTATTATTTTTAAGGCTAGAAATAATGGCTTGCTGCAAGGGGCTATCATTAGCTTGATCGCAACTTACATTAATTGTGGTATTACCTCCATCTAGCATTAGTTTTTGATTATCATAACTTAAATTTGATGTGTTTAAGTTGGGTGAATTAAATGTCTGATTAGTGCTATTTTTATAGGAAGTAATTACATTTTTTCGACTAGTGGGGCTTTCATCTCCCAATATACTTGACAACATTGTGCTAACATTTTCATTATTTCTAATAATTTCTTTATTTTGATTATTTGCGTGTGATAGATTTTGGGAAGTGGAGTGATTTAATAATGTTGGTATAGAACTTATATTTAAGTTATTGCTGTTTATCGCGTTCAATTGATTATAGGTCATGTTTAAATTTGGGTTAGGCACATTATTCACGGGAACTTGATTCACGGGAACTTGAAAATAATATTGTATTTGAGGAGTTTGAGTGAAGGAGGGTTGGTTATTGACAAGTGAATTGAATGTAGAATTATTTTCCTTTTGATGAGAAAAATTAAGAGAATATTAAAAATAAAATATTCATAAATAAACAAATAATAAATGCGCCGCACAACATAAAAGAAATAGATACCCACAAAATTATTTTAAATTCTGTAACAATATATAAAGATAATGCACACTAATTATTTGCCAATCTTAAAATGATGTCGTTATAAAGTTGTAGATAACTTTTTAGGTATCAGCAATTGTGGAATACAAAACGTTAAAACAATATTTTATTAAGAAGGAGATGTTAGAATTAGCTTGGTTCAAAATTAAATCAGCCAAATTTTAAAAAACTTGCTCATTCTGATTCCCTCCAATTTGTTTATTAATATTCATTCCATAATTTAAAATACACATGAAACAAAATATAGTTAGAGATATAAATAGTTATATATATATGTATGTAAGCTCATAAAAAAGATGAATAGATGTTTGCCCTTCATCTTTATGTATAATGGCATATGTTCGTCTGGTATAGCAGCTGAAAGGCTGTCATCTAAAATGTGTGTTTTCACAATTTGTCAATCGAGGAGGGATCTACACCTCTTTTTCGAATTTTTTTTCTAAAAACAGGCCAGTCACTCACCAATGATTGTCTTAGATACATGTTATACATCCATTTATTTTTTCATATCTAAAAATCGCATTAATATTCGAGTGAAATGACGTTATATTTATTAATATTTGAGATTCTACTGAATTTGAATAAAATTTAGCTTCAATTTTTATCTGAGAAAACAAAAAAAGTAGAAAATTTAGCCTTCCCGGTATTGTACGCTTTTTATTGGATAAAACTACACATATATATAAATTTAAGATAAAATGGTTTTTGCAAATGCCAAAATAAGAATAAAAATTAATTTTAATTAAAATACTGAGAATATGCAAAAAACTTTTTAGTACATTTGTTGTAAATTAGCCCTGACCATTTAAAGTTTGACAGTAAGAGTTCATTCCATATCAAACCAATCACTTTACAATTCGACCATCTCAGATTTTGCTAAAATTTGATATATACAAGTTAATGAGGTGTCGTAATTGACTAATCCAAAATATTAGCCCTTTAACTTCAGTAGAGCCGGAGAAAGTAGCGTAGCTCTGCTTGGTCATTGAAAAAAATGATTTTTTAAAATTGGGATAACGTTAATATTAGACGCACTATATATATATCCATTATGGCTTATTTTATATTCCTAAGTAAACTCTTGCACGTATTTTGAAAAAAATTCTTATTTTTTTTCCCAGAGTTCCGATATTTTGTAAAGAGTACATAAAACTGTTCATATAAATATTTTCAGGGTGGTGAAGAAAAGTTTAAATAGAAAAAATGCTTAAAATAAAATGATCGCAAAATGGCGCTAATATTTTTAACCCAAAATTTAATTTTTGAATATATGTGATAATATAATATTTATTGAATAAAATCGCATTTTGGCATAAAGATAAAATTTTGGCTAAATAGCGCTAGTAATTTAAAATAACTAATTATGGTTAATAGGTTATATAGCCATATCCCAATCGCTGGAACATAAAACGTGCTTATTTCATTACAAAAAAAATTAATAAATTTTACAAAAATTTACTTTTAATCCGAGTGTTAATATATTTATTTCCGTTGGGTTTACAAATCAATATAAAAACAGGAAAAATTTCATAAATTTGTGTTATCAGGTGGATTTTGCTATCCTAGTGACATTTCCTTGCTACTGCACATGGGGATAGTGTTTGCAGTGGAGTATGGGGAACTGTTAAACGCCTGGCGGTGCAGATCAGTTTACAATGACCTTATGAAAATAATAAAATCTGTGATTTCTTCAAATTCGCCGAGGAAAATATTAAAAAATTTCATTTTTCCAATATATTCCATGAATGAGCAAAAACTTTTAAAGGAAGAGTTATCAAAACTCTTTCCATTCCTGCAATAAAAATTCATGCAGTGTATCCTGTTAAAACCATATAGTAAAATATTCAAAATCGAATAGGAGACATATCAACCAACAATATTAAAGGGTATTTAGCTTGTTTTAATGATAATGAATGGAGGGTGGAATATATTCAAGCGATTATAAGTGCTGATGAAGGTAATATTTCTACCCCTAATGGACCTTCCCTGTACATTTATTATTCATAAATACCTGATATTCTTACGAAGAATGATATTCTAACTGTCGTCAACTTTTTGTCCACTATATGAAGAACTTATAATTTAACTAATAAAGAATCCAAAATGACCTACAAATTAAATTTACGGAAATCTATATCACTAAGTATCTATACTTTAAGCAATTTCACCATGAGTTAATTCAATAAATATTATAGAATAAATATTACGACTGATATATTTTACAAAAATTAAGTTTTTAGCCATTTTAAATTACTTGCGCTATCTAGCGGGAATTTTATTTTTGTGGAAAAATGAGATTTTATTCAATAAATAATATATTATGGAATATAGAAAAATGTGGATTGACTTATATTTTCAACAATTAAGTTTTAAACTGTATAAAATTATTAACGCCATCTAGAAGCAATTATATTTTAAGCATTTTTTCTTACTTATCAATTTTTTTTTACCATCCTGAAAATTTTTATAATTCATCATGATAATCTTTACAAAATATCTGAAATTTGAGGAAATAATCTTTTTTCATCCTACATAACAATATTTTGACTTTTTAATCAAATTTTTAACTTCAATTTAAAAAAATATTAATTAAAAGTTAATTTTATCCAAAATACATGCAAGAGTTTACTTAATGTTATAAAATGTTCCATAACAGATATATATATGCATCTAATATTAAAGTTATCCTAATTTTAAAAATGATTTTTCCCAAAAAATGAGCAAGCAGAGCCACTTTGAGACCATATATCTCATGTTATGGTAATTAAGGAGGCTTATTTTGGATTCGTAATCAACACTTCATTAATTTATATACCAAATTTTAATAAAATTTAAAATTGCCAGGTTGTAAAGTGATTTATTTGATATGGAATGCCCCTTAACTCCAACTCTGTTACATGCCAAATAGCCATGAGATAAGGCCCAGCAATGGCAACTTTTATTCCAAAATCATCTTCATGGCAGCAAAGAGTATTTAAATTTTCGCGATTCTTATATTAAAATCCTGCGCCATCTGAAAATTTGAAATTTTTTTTAGAGGCTTTGAGATTTTTCTGTTAAGTGACACATGTATTATGAATGATATTCTGATGTAACTTAAATGACTAAATTAAATAAGTGTCTTGCAATAACAAAAGTGAATTAAACTTGTGCTAGTAAAATCCTTGAAATTCTCCTTCATTTAAATTCATTTTTCACACCTTTGAGGTGCTGTATCTAGGGATGTAAATTTCCCAGGAAACTATATTTCGGGGAAAAACGGGAAAATAACGGGAAGCTATCTTTTTTATAATACTTTACAGGTTAATATTGATTTTTTTAAATGTTTTATTGTAAATATATAGATTATAAACATTATAATTAAACAAATATGAATTAATTTTAACTAATTTATGATTACTTTACATGTTTTATTTGAAAATATTAAATATAGACTATAAATAATATTAAAACAATTAATTTTGAGTAGGTAATTATCTTCGTTTAAAGATGAAAATGATTCCAGATCAGAGCTTGAAATTCTGGTATCCAACTATTTGTCAATTTCAGAAATTTCCTTTCCCATAAAATGTAGATTGGCTCTTATATAAACTAATTTTCGAACCTTGTCATTTTTTATTCTATTTATAGATTTCGAAAGAATATTTCCAAAGGGTGCCCCGGTTACGGTGGTACGTTTTTCTTTTTTTTATAAAAAAAAGTATATACTCAAAGTTTAAAAAATTAAAATATATCCTTACCTTGAAAATAAAATAATCAAAGAATTTATCCGTCTTTTCTTTCGATTTTTTTTGTAAAAATAAAAAGTAAAGGAATTACTTATCAAATTCGTCGTTCGATATTGGAGATGATAAAAGGACAAATAAAATTTTTTGACTTTTCTTTTCGATAGTCCAAATTTTATCCAAATTTACAAAATTATAAAAGGTAAAAAAATAAAATAAAATATATATATGGTGAATTCCATATCAAATCAACCAAAAAAAGTCGATTCTCAACCCGACCCTCTTCAATTTTTCTTAAATTTTGCATAATGGTAGTATAAACTATAACTAAGAAAAAAATGAAATTTTACCTCCCGACAAGGTTTACTCGCTAAGATATGGGCGTTTAAAGCGCGGAAAAATAGTACATTTTTGACAAAATGTGCCTCATTTATTTTCAAATATCTCGAGAAATAATTAAGTTAGAAAAATAATTTAAATTTTATTATGTAGCTTAATAATAGTTCTTTAATATGACATAAAAATAAATATGATATAAATTTGATGAATGTCCAAAACCGGATGTATAAAACCGGAAATGGCCATAGAAAAAAAAGGTATTTTTTTTTTCAAAATTTTTTTTCCGTAGATAGATATAACACTGCTTTATATTTGTGCCAAATCCTAGCCTGGGATAAAAAAGGGTCTAGGAGTTATGACTCTTTATATGGCTTAAATTGATCAAAAATATCTTCATTTAATGAATACTTATGAAATAATGTTTTTTTTTAAAATTATGTCTAAATGATAGGCCCTAACTTTTTTTTATTTTTAATTGTTAACATGTTGTGACTGAAAATTACTTGACAAAATAATTCTAAACCAATTTATAACTTTATTTTTCTGAAATGCATAATTACATATAATATAATAATTCATAATTATGTTTACAATATATCATATATTAAATTATCTAAAGAATTGGTATAAATTTTGACTTTAATTTTATTTTCATCAAGGGGAATATAAGCATGGTATTTTTGTGTTCCCGGAATTCTTTTTGCTCTCAAAAATCTGCTTTCTAGATGATTTTCCATATTATTGTATTCATTAATGTAATTTACTCCATGTATATTATTTGTTGCAAAGTCGAATAAATCCAT